TACAAACATGAAAAAAATATCACGATATTTTCAACTGATCGCAATCTCTTTTATGGTATGCATAACGTTTTAAATGTGGGGTCTCCTTCGTTGTCAATTAGTACCGATTACAGAACTTAGCACACAATTTAACTGACTTGCGCGGTGAGTTCACAAGCTATTTTTGACGTACCATCGAAAACCATCGCATTATCGGTAAGATTAATTTTGCTCTGCAGCAATGACTCAGTCTTGACATTTGAGGGAAGATAAACGGAAATCGTTTCTCCTTTCGCAATGGCCGTGTTACTGTAAAATAATTCAATTGCTTCTGAAGAAAGAAAAACAGATTTTTAAGTGTTTATTCCAAATAGGAATCATTGCGTGATTGGAGTTTTCAAATCCATCTTCTCACTGACACATTTTGCCTAGGGGTTAAATGAATAACAGACAAGAAAGCGGATTAACTGTGATTTTTATACCTCAATAATCACATAACGCATAACTTGCAGACCTCATGCTGAAAGGTTTCAGATTAATAAAATTGTTTACTCACTTACTCATCCCACTTCAAGTATAAAAGGATAGAGGCTCTTCTGGACCTTTTCCAGCGACGTCAAATCTCAAGGAGAATAAAGAGAGAAAAAAAGTTTCCCGAGCTTTGAGAAGCAAGATCAATTTTTTTGGAGGGGGAGCGGCGGCTTGGGGCCATCTTCAGAACCAAGAAGTTTTTTAGGAGTTTTTCGAAATCCACACTGGTTCGCCATTTTTTTTTCTTTAAAGCTGGAAATACTTTCATTTGTGTCGGTGTGTTGTTACGGTACGTACGCCAGCAAAATCGTGCAAGGTGCTGAAATTATCCAATCAGTGTGAATAAGTTGATTTTTAATCCAATCAGTTGCAATGACGAAAATAGAAAGAAACAAACGTGCACGATTCAACTTCTGAGCGTGTTCCAGCATTCTTGGTTTACCAGCGAGTCAATCGTGACAGAGAAACCAATGAACGCTCTATGATATTTGATTGGCCGTGTGGAAAATTTGGGAAGAAGCGCTGTATTTACAAGTTATGCCGTTACCATGATGACGCGAGACAGGTAGCTATAAATAACATTATAATAATTATTATGCTTATTAATAAAAATAGCCTATTACATTTTTTTATTTTATAAACATAACTATCAATCATCCTGCACTACTGTCATTATCATCCTTATCATTATAATTATTTTTATTATTATTAGTATCATTATTATCATTCCTATTATTATTAACATGTCTTCCTCTTCAGCCTTTATGGTATTTTTGTGCAATTTCTCAGCTCCGTTCTTTAGCCTGAAGTCAAACCTTTATCCCCTGCACCTAAGCTCTTTCAAGCAGTGTTGAAACTATTTATTAAGAAAACTGGATAAGAAACAAACCTCATGATGATTCCTTGCTGGAAGGGAATTAGGCGATCAAAATACCACACACCTGGATGAGAGAAGGTCATGCAGATACAATTTTTTTTCTGCACTGACTCACTTTCATCATTAAATCGTAGAACTCTGAAACCAAAGTTCCCAAAACAGGTAATGAAGATCGAGGGAACGAACTGAGCGGACCGCGGTACATGTAAATTATTTGTGTTTTAACTGATACAGATTTGTGAAAGCAGACAATTACAGAGCTTGAATTAAAAAAAAGGGAAAAAAACGCAAACGCAATTTTCGCTATTTGATTTTCATAAATCAATATTCCGTTGATATGTTAACAACAATGATTACTTTTTTCAAATCACCACCATTTAATTTAATAAGCTGCAGTTTTTGACTGTAAACGTTTCCTCTGTTTGTTTTGTAGCTGTTGTACTGGTCTGTGAAATAAAAGTTAGTAATGACAGGAAGCAAAAGGGCTTGACGAAATTAGAATCAGGCTTTCTCTTGGCCTGTAGGACCTGGATTAAACGTGATTTAGTAAATACCGATAAACCGCATTTGTAAACATCAATCCTAACCGACGGAAATCCTATTTTCTGATTCTTTCAGTTGTTAAAATTTCTCTGCTTGTGAGAAATACGATTATTGGACTACCCATTGTCTAATAATTAGTAAAGATGCGCCGGCCCTTGCTGTTTTTGTCTCAACGACTTCAACACTTAAGTTAACTCGATACGAAACGAGAAAAAAGAATCGCCAATTGACGTAAAAACATAGGAGTCACTTTTTAATCTTCTTGTGGTTCACCGAGAAAAAAAGGAGATTGTGCTGAGATGAAAAATTAAACCTCAAACTTGATAAATATCCCACAAGACGAAGTAGTGCTAAAATAACGGAAATATACTGGGTTTGCTGATCCGATATTTAGTAATTATCGCCTTTGTGGGTGTTGGAGCCGGGTAACCGGGTTTTCCTGCCATAAATCAAACGAAAAAAAAAACACTCTCAGTGGCTTCCTGGATATTAATTGAGAAATATGACCATAAACAATAGTTAAGTTATCATTCTAACCTCATCGACATTTCTAGGACCACATTTCGTTCCCATGCTTTCGACTTAGTTAATTGTCCTACAAATTGCACCACGGTGAGTAAACCAACACTGACTTAAGTTCAAATGAAGATCTTCCATAAAACCAGATAATAATAACCACAAATTAAATATCTTTATTTAATCCGTGTATCTATTTTTGCACCATTTAAAGTCTATTCCATTGGAAAGTGACGATAAAAAAACCTTTTTACAGTGTCTTGCTGACACATTCATAACATTACTAAAATGTCTGAAGACATTGAAAGAAATTTCCTTCCGATAACCCCCTTTCCATGAATCATCTCACTGATAAAACGTTGCTTCGTTGGTACGTTGCTTCATTTTGTATATTTTGTTCCTATTTTTAACCTTCTTCTTTACAGCTTTTTTTTATAAGGGTTTTTGCTATTATTGCCAAGTGTGTACAGGTAATTTCATCTTTCTGAAGCACCTACTATAGTTTGAATTGTAAATGTTTCCTTCGATTCCTATATTAGTCAACTTGGTATCATTCTTGCACCGTATAAATAATTTTGTAAACACAGTTTCGGCAAAAAGAAACCGGCCATTCCGCATATAAAATGGTTTCCAATTCCCTTAAGATTGGGTTTTCCTCTGCGTGAGAAGTGACATGCACACTTTCTAAACAACGCCGCTTAAGTATGACGCCTTCCTTCCTCGACTGATCTTCTCATATCGTTGGAAGCTTGGCGTATCATCCTGTCCGCCGGCGAGGCGTTTGTCCTTCACCTTTAGCTGTTATTCGCGTTCAGGCAGGCAATCTGATGGAAAAAACTATAAATAATAATAATATTAACTAAATCAGTCTTACCACAAACCGAATTTAAGTGAAATTTACCAACAGATTCCAGTATCATATTACCGATTAGTTACACACATTTTCCCTTAGCTATACGGTGTACAAATACTTCAGGTTTTCGAGATAAATCTCGCTCGAAGAAGAAATCATAACATAAAACAGCCAAGTGCCTTCATGTCAGGCCATACAGTCCTAATTATCTTTTATTAAAATTTTAAATTAACATATGTTCTCTTCTGTTGACGTGAAGCAAATAGTTCAGTATTATTACACAATACATCTAATATTGTCGTCGCTGAAGGTATATAGTCAAGTTGTCAAACATTTGTTTTGAATTTAATTATTTTTTAATGACTCCTGTTTCGTGAGCTGAATGAAAATGGTTTTTCGTCTCAGGAGTCCTACTAAGTGTTGGCTTACAAGGATGTGGTGGGTGTTTTTCCTTTGATTCAGCTTTTTCTTGTGTTTTTGCATGTATTATCACAGAGTGAACACTTTCTTCACTGACGCTTCTACACGAAAAGGTCACTTTGAGTCGATCGCCGCCTCTCGTTCATGGTTCCTAGGTCATATTTTTTAAAACAATAAGCTTAGGGGGAGACCTTCTTAAGGATGATCGGCCTCTATAAAGCGGACACCGAAAGGGGATCGTAAGACTGAGGAGAATGAACTTAACTAATGTTGTGTGGCAATATCCTTTAAATCTCTTTGATCCAAAACCAAGCGCAATATCAACCCCCTCGACGTCTATTTTTATGTTTTTACAGTTGCATCCCAAACAAACAATGAAAGGAGTTGTCATGGGAAGTCAATTTCTTTATTATTATTTGCGGAAAGCCCCTTAGTGATTAATCTGAAACATATGATCGCTGAAGAATAAAATGCCATAAGTAGACATTGTTTGATGCTACTCTGGTTTACAGATTTAATGAATGTAACCGAAGAAGTTACAATTCATAAATCCAACGTTTCGACACTCCTGTCTAGTGCCTTCATCAGGGGTGATCTAAACGCTGCAACAAGAGGTCCGTTGATATGATGACTAATTGTTGCAGCGTTTAGATCACCCCTGATGAAGGCACTAAACAGGAGTGTCGAAATGTTGGGTTTATGAATTGTAACTTCTTCGGTTACATTCATTAAATCTGTAAACCAGAGTAGCATCAAACCATGTCTGATTGTTTGTTGGTTGCCGTGTGAACTTTAATATGTCATAGGTAGTTAAATTTTTATTTTATCTTTGTTCCAAGAGAGTAAACTATGTAGATGCACAAGTTAACTTACCGTTACATTGCATGAGAGAAAAGACTGGCTCCAAAACTAACATACCACGATACAAGATGAACTGACAAAAACAGCATGAAAAGTTGTAGTTACAAGCTGCAATAAATAAAAGGTAGTCCCAGGAAGTTGTGTGAGAATACCGATTTAAATTTCGATTGCCGGAGGGTTTTCTTGTCCGTGTTTGGTTTGTCTGTAATAAGACTGGTGCCGAAGAAAGAAGTCATCATGGCGGCCGTGTTCGTTCCCTTGCGGCGCGGAATAAGAGAACTTTCTGGGAAAACATCGTCCGTAAGGTTTCCTTTTCACAGGTAGTACGTATAGATTTTTCATTTTCAGACAAGAGAAATTTTAAGGCGTTAGGAACGACTCATTGCACGTGTACTGGCTTTGTTTACATGTGTTAGATCAAGATCAAGACAGTTTCACCCACGAGAGAGAACTCCCGGCCAGAATGGAAGAACATCCGGAAAAAATGAAAATCAGCCCGAAATTTCAGACGACGTCAGTAAATTACGGATGATTGTGCGTCCTTTGGGGTTCACAGTGCTGGTATGTGATCCAAACATCAACCTCTTAAAAATTAGAATATGTCTTGAAGTTTTAAAGATGATCAATATCCCCATTGAGAAGGATGCTGGTGGTAAATTAATGAGTACAAAGAACCATTTAGGATTAGTATGACTGCAAACAATGACCAGGCCCAATTTGATATTTCACAGGCTCCCTCCTTCCCTTGATGGAAGGTAAAGGTAAAAAGTGGGAGGGGGTTGGGGAAGGGGGGCAGGTGACCGAGTATCTTTCTTTACTTTGCTTGAAATGCTGTCTTCCTCTGTAGGACTTCATAGCTCATTTTGTACAGTATCATAATAGTGAAGTATAGTAGCAGTTCTAAATTCAAGACCTGTAGAAGAATTCCATTGTCTTCATGTTCTGCTTCTAATTTTCAAAGGTTATCTTCTACTTTGGAGTTATTTACCACTTACATAGTTTTTCTCTTCATAACTCTAGACAGGAGTAGTGAGCTTTGGAACATGTTCAATTATAAACTATGAACGCGTCAGAAATTTGTATGTACAAGGGAAAAGGACAAACAAGCCTTCTCCTCATTCTTCCAAGTCATTTGACTTCCGCAATATGGTTTGTGTTCAATTTTTCATTTAATTGATCTGGTAGTGATATGGTGGCTGTTTCTTTAACCCTTCAATCCCTAAGAGTGACTAGCATCTAATTTCTCCTTACCTTATCACCCCTGAATCACACATTGAGGTCATGAGAATAAAGGAAATGATCACCAACTAAAGAAGCTCTTGATTGTTAAACAAATTCTCCTTATCAGCACCTTAAGAATTGTACGGAGAACAGTACTGAGATTATGCATACTGATGTTAGGGGTCAAAAGGTTATCTCATGTTGACTTGTTGTTTTTTGTTTAGTTAAATAAATGGTGGAACTCTTTGCATGGAGGCTCAAAGACAGCAGCTGTAATTATCTTCATAAACACAGCAGTGTTTTTGTTATGGTATCAACCTAGATTACATTTGTTCATGTACAAGTGGTTTACAACATCTCCATTCTCAGGTCAGTCATAAATCAGTTGAAGATTTTTACAAGAAAAGAAAAAAAAAGTGGTACAGGACACCCAGCTGAGTGTGTCACCAATGTTCTTACCACATCTGGATGCTTTTTTGTTCAATCTATAACTGAACAGACCCACAGCAATATGGTATCAATTTGTTTTTCCTTCAAAAACCAAAGTGTTGTAAATAGTGACTTCATCTGTGCATCTCTCCTCTAAAAGAGTTGTTGGTGGTAACATCCAAAACCAATCAAAGTGCATACATAATGCATCTTATCATATAACATGATTTAACAATTCTTCTCATGATGAAGTTCATACTCTTATCTCCAGGCTCAAGTCTGACAATGCTGACATCTATCTTTAGTCATAAAGAAATCTGGCATTTATCTATCAACATGTTTGTGCTCTGGAATTTTGCACCTCATTTAGAAGGTAGATAATACAATAAACTGTGATATTTTTTGTTTGTTTTTTTTTGTTTGTTTTGTTTTTCAGTGTTGGTATTTCATTTTAAGATACACAAATTTCAATACAATTTTCATTATATATTTTGTATTTTGCCAAAATAACCATGATATTCTGGGACAATGCAATTCAAAACTTTTGATACACCTTTTAAAAAGGTTGTATTTCTTTTACAGCTCTTCTTGGCAAAGAACAGTTTATTGCATTTTACATTACTGGAGGTAAGCATATTAAAAATATCTCAAATTCATACTGTGAGAAACAGTTCACAACTTCTCCAAAAGAAGTCAACTGATGAGTTATGGAAAGAGAATCTTGACCATGAATAGTCATTCTTTATGTGACATTTGCTCAAATGTATGTTTTCCAGGTGTTTTTGCTTCATTCTTGAGTCAGGCATGCAGAATTGGTTTCACCAATGCATTTCGTGTAGGTGCTTCACTAGGAGCGGTAAGGATTCAAAGTTAAATTATTTTCACAGTCAGTTAGCCACTTGATCTGTCAGTTCATCGGTCAGTTGGTCAACCAGTCAGTCAGTCAGTCAGCCATTTAGTCAGTCAGCTAGTCAGTTGTTCAACCAGTAAGTCAGTCAGCCACTTAGTCAGTCAGCCAGTCATTCGCTCAGTCAGTCAGCTGCTCATTTATTCAGCCAGCCAGTCAGTAGTTCAGTCAGTCAGTCAGTCAATCAGCCAGTTAGTCGGTCAGTCAGTCAGCCTGCAAATCAGTTGGTCACTTAACCAGTCAGTCATTTTCCTACATGTTCTTACAGTTGGCCAGTCAGTAAGTCAGTTGGCCAGTCAGTAAATCATTGGTCAGTCAGTAAGTCAGTTTGCCAGTCAGTAAGTCAGTTGGCCAGTCAGTGAGTCAGTTGGCCAGTCAGTGAGTCAATTGGCCAGTCAGTGAGTCAGTTGGCCAGTCAGTGAGTCAGTTGGTCAGTCAGTGAGTCAGTTGGTCAGTCAGTGAGTCAGTTGGTCAGTCAGTGAGTCAGTTGGCTAGTCAGTGAGTCAGTTGGCTAGTCAGTAAGTCAATTAGTCGTTCAGCAGTCATCTAGTTAAACAGACATACAGACAGTAAGGCTTAACTCCTTAAAATCCACATTTTAAAAACCACTTTTTGTTTTGTTTCCTAGTCAGGGGCATTGCTTGCGTGTTTATCGCTTGTGTGCATCAATGAACCAGATTTGCGCTTGTCTATTGTGTTTCTGCCGTTTTTTACATTCCCTGCTGGAGTGGTAAGTAATAAGAAAGAAATCCTGAGGATGATAATTTTTTTGACCCTGTTTCTCATAACTCACTAATCTATTTCGATACAGTCGACAACACGTGACTGCTCATGGCGTCATTGACCCCAGGAGCGTCATGTGAATATCATGTCATGGGTGTTTCGTTTTCTCTCGTCCCCAGGGCCTCCTAGCTGTAGCTGGCTTTGACTTGCTAGGATTGTTGATGCGTTGGAGAGTGTTTGATCATGCGGCACATCTCGGTGGTGTTTTATTTGGGGCGTAAGTAGTTAACACAAATGATACGTGTCATTTTAATGCTGTTGCTGCGAAGCTTACATTGTTAAAACGTTCCCAGCCATATTTGCACAGGAGGAAAACTACTTATTTTGGATTTGCAAGGAGTTGTTGAAATTGCCAAGAGAAGTGGGTGTGTCCACTGCTACTCGATCAGTTTATTTTGTAATCCATCACTCTCTCACGTGAGCAAACTATTTGTAGTTGTTTTCTGCTACTTGTTCAACAGGAGCAAACTGTTTTCTTCTGGTATTCTCTCAACAGGCTATACCTAAAATACGGAAGTTATTATATTTGGCAGAAGCGTGGCTGGTTCGTTTCTGAGTGGCACAAGCTGCGAGAGGGAAGCAAAAGAACTTGAATCCTGTAACATCTGTAGGACGCATCTTCAGATCTTCTGTCTTAAATAAGAAGGAACGGGTCTGACTACGCAGAAAGCCTCTTATATGCGCACATGTTGGAAACTTTACCGTCTTGTTTTAAACGAGAGCTTTTTTCAAGAAAGACATAGATTTTGGTTTTCTGTGCAATAGCGGCTCGCGATAGATCCCCAGGGAAGGATGCCAAGGCTTGATTGTTTGCTTGATGTTACCGCCAACAGGCTTGTCTATTTGATCAAAGGGGGAAGTTTCTAAAGAAACTCTTGTGCTGCGTCGGTGTGAGAGTGTAACAGGGTAATTTAGTATTATCAACTGAGTTGATAACGTAAATTGGCCACCGTTAAGAGTTTCGAAGCTGATGTTTCGAGCGTTAGCCCTTCGTCAAAGCGAATAAGGGCTCCCTAAAACCCCACCCCTCCCCTCCCCCCATTCACTCTGACGAAGGGATAATGCTCGAAACGTCAGCTTGCAGACTCTTTACAGTGGCCAATTTACATTATCAACTCAGTTGACAAGACTAAATTACCTTGGTTGCTTGATTTACTTGAAAGATGACAAAGTCGTATTAAATTTGCTAGGAGAACTTATGGATGGTTTCTGATCCCGTATTGCATCTTAGGACCTCGTCAGTCACTTGCACAGAAAATTGACTCCCTTCCTGTATTTGATAATTCTGAAAATATGTTTTTTAAGCGGTAAGATGATCTGTCTTGAAACATAAGCTTTCACTGTTATACCGAGTATGCGCAAACCACTAATCTAGAAGAGATATGAGACGGGCCAATCTCGTTCTCAGTGCCTCTCGGTTTTTCTTACGGTCTTTCGTGTCGCCGACCACGTGGCCAAAGAAATGAGGACTCCTCAAATGAGAATGAGGTAAGGCGAGTTACAGCCGCCAGTGAGTTTTTTTTCTCCTTTACGTGAGGGAACACAGGACGCGATTGTCGCCTCGTCTCGATGTCCTGTCCTAGGCTCCAACCCCCTCTCATCAGCCCACGCTTTCCTTTCGATAACTCTTTATGTTTCATTATATACTGGAAACGCAAATTTACGGAATCTAGCAGCTGTTTGTAAATGGCCAAGATCGTTTTCAAGGGAAAAAAAATAAAAAAGCATCGTTAATACATTCTGACAATATCAAACAAACAAACTTTTGAAGAAATGTAATTCGGTGTTATTAACTGAGTTGACGAGGGGAGAACGCTTGAAACTTTTAACAGTGGCCAATTTACGTTATCAACTCGGTCGATAATAAAAAATTACCTTTTTATACTCTCCCACCGACGCAGCACCACGGCTTCTTTAGAAACTTACCCCCCTTATTTGGAAGAAATGTACGAGTTTACTTTGACGAAGAAAACATAATGCGCTAAAGTATAAGTTCATTTCTTAAATTTAAGATCATTGAAATTATTGAAAAAAAATGACCAAAACTACCAATAGAAAAGCATTTTCTTGCTTCCGATGTGTGTGTGGTGTTTTGTGGTTATCCCTTTTCATGACAATAGTAACAATAGCCCATTAGCTCTTGTTATAATTATTTTTCACTTCGTGGAGGATAAAGATTCGTTCATGCAAGAAGTTTTTTCAGTCGAGGAAGCCATTTCTGCCATCTGTCATATCTGAGAACAATATTTTTCATTCTTTGAATTTTTATTTTGAAAATGTAATCCAAAATGTTCTTCGGACGATGAGGAGAAAAGAAAAAGGGGATGCAGCTGGATTGGAGACCATGAATATAGAGACGAAAGCGGTATTCTTTAGGTGGCACCTCGTGGAAAAGGCCTTCGGAACTTTCCTCGCTCTAACAAGTCCTTATTTAACTTGCGGCGTTTTATTCGGACAAAGAAACTCTTCCGCTGTGAATCAGCGAAGGAAAGCATTTCGATCACGTTCTGGAATAAGTGTGGATGTTCAATTTTAACGTGATACTTGTTATAACCCATTGCTATTGATAAAAGGTATTTTTTGATCAAGGAAATACAGCCAAACGGAACACGTGAAGCATCAATAACAATTTTTTTTTCATTCCTCTTCCATTCTTCTCTAGAACAAAGATACGTCCGATTACTGACGTAGATTATTCTTCTAAAGGCATCTGTATAACGCTGAAAGAATCACAAGACTTGAGCAGATCGAAAAACAGGAATAGTTTCTCTGCATGGCTTTTTTCATGGCTTAATTTCCTCTCATCATCTATATCCATTCACAGACCTAAATTCCATCGCGCAGTAATAACTTAAATGTATTTTTGACCGTGCTGGTAAGATACTTATCGCATATCATGCCAGTCGATATCGGTTTCATCACGGGAATCGTTATAAGCGGAATTATAATAATCGGTGTGATTGGAAACGTTATGACCTTATTCGTGATAATCCGTTACAAACCGTTACGGAATGAAACTGGAATGTTTCTGGCAAATCTCGCTGTGGCAGATCTCTTGCAGTCGATCATTGGGATGCCTCTGATAGCTGCTTCAGCTTTTCACAAACTATGGCTGTTTGGTGAATCTCTTTGTGTAATAAGTGGGTTGACCAACTCGCTCTTCTGTGTGACATCTGTTTTGACGCTCACAGCAGTATCTGTTGATAGATGGCTATCAATTGTATACCCACTCCAGTACAGAAATTGGTTGACTGTCAGAAGAGCAAGGTTTACATTGGTTTACATCTGGATACATGCTCTATTTGTGGCGATTCTTCCTGTGTTTGGTTGGTCAAGGTTTGTGAAATCAGTTGATTCTTATCTTCTAGATCTGGTCTGCATTTTTCTGGGCCTTTCAACGATTAACTATGGTGTAAGCGTTGAGCGATCATTTTTTTAGTAACCAATATTCGCGCTAAATTAAATTTTTTCCTCCGTTTTGCTTTTCATTAATTCATTCGAGAGTTCATTTTCCTTCTTCTGGGATGAATCAGCGATTTTCAAGCGCGCGTGCGTTTTCGACATATTGAACTGGGCCGAGAAATACCGAAACTCATCCGTAGCTTAGCGCTCTACGGACAAACGTATTTGTATTTTCAGCTGACTTCGATTCATGTTGTTGCAGGTATGTTTATTTGCCTTATGAGTTCATCTGTACAGTCCAATGGGAAAGCGATAAGAGTTACACGATGTTTCTTAGCGCGACAAGTTTCGTTACACCCGTGATCGTCGTGGTGCTGTGTTACTCAAGTGTCTTGAAAACCGCTCGTCGTAAAGTACGCCAGGAACCACGTGTCACGGTTGGCCGATTTAGTGGGTCGAATGTGAAGCCTGGTACGAGTAGCACGGAAGAAGCTTTCAATAAAAATTGCGATAATTCAGGAAAATATTTTCGCGGAAAAGAAAATAATGTATTCATTTCAAATTCAAAGAAGAGGTGGGAGAATAGTATCTTTGAGGAATGTCATATCGGGCCGGAAAAATCAGAATCGACCTCACTTAAAATGGAAGAACACCATAATGAGATTGAACGTGACTCTGAGCTGAGTTCGACATCTACCATTCGGAAAAAAGAAACAAAGAGAAAATCCTCATCTAGAGTCGTTCCCTCGAGTACAAGTGGAGTGGCTCAATTAAATACTGTCGTAGCAGCCAAAGGTTGCTCTAAAATGGCTGGAAAAGGCAAACACCCCAAGAACTTTAGTACCTCTTCCTCTCCTAGAACTGGGACGTCCCGTGTTAATAAAGTTGACGTCGCTGCACCGGTAATAAACCGCTGGACAGAGGATATCTCTCTAAGGAAGGAGTCGACGGTTATTCCAGAAGAAACCGAGGGAAAGAGATACCCTTTTTCCCGAACAATAACAGCTACCGCCGGGCTGCCGGAACCCCTCGCTCGAATGCGCGGATGGATGAACGAGCGGAAAAAGGGAGACGGGCGACATAAGAGGCAAGTCTTAAACCAATTACTTCAACTTTTAAGTTGATCAGTGGACAAACCCTTGTTTCTGTTTGTTACCTTCCCTGTGCCCCTTGTTTGTTACCTCCCCTGTGCACCCTTCTTACCCCCTTCCATAAAACTCTCCTTTGTTACCGCTGAGGGTAAGGGTTCCAGTTGTGTTTTCCAACTGTGAAATAATTTCAAAAGTAGTACTGAAAAAGAATTATTATTTCAACCTATAAGTAGAAAAAATGGTCAAATGGTACCCCCCTCTCATCCTGTGATTTTTGACTTACAGTTGCCCACTGTAAGAAATAAACATTTTATCTTTAATGTGTTCTTTAGGAAGGAGATGAAGATCACGTTTATCCTGCTTGTGGTAAATGGCACCTTCCTTCTCTGTTGGTTTCCTCATTTTATTGGAATGATGTGTTTAACCTTTACAAACGGCTTGTGCCCATTCCCCGACAGTTACCACATCATCACCACCACGCTGGCTATGTTGAACAGCGGTTGCAACCCATTTATATATACCCTGACTTACCGGAAATTCAGAAGTGGGTTTCAGGCAGTAATTCCATGTTTTCGCTCTCATAACGCTGCTGAATTAGAAAATTCTGTGGAATAACCTTTCTGTTAACCCGCGAAAAAAATGTTCTCCTTCTAATAATGCAAAAAAATTTTAGCAGCTCTTCTGAATGGATAGGGACAATAGGCGAAAGTCTTCGCAAACAACTAGTAGCATTACCTGCACGAAAAGCGTCACCAGTTCTCGCTCGTTCCTGCGACTTTCTGTGACCTCACCGTGGTAGATCTGGGAAGGACATTAGTAGTTGCTAGGACAACGTAACTGACAGTGATATTGAAGTATCGTATAGAAGTCGTGTATTTTGAGACTGCAAACCTTTTTCGATCACGCCATGGAAAGCGAGCAGAACATTTTCCTCGGTTCACCATCGAGGTTATTCAGTCTTTGTTAAACCTCTCCCCATTGACTTCGATATAACAAATTGATCCGCGGTTGAGGGAATAAATCATTTAGACTGATGTCTCCGTTTGACAAGTGACATTTATATTGTTTCCTCAGAAGACTTATCAGGTATTTTGGCGCCATTCATGATGTTAATCCTTTTGGAATTAAAACGTTTAAAACAGTTTCCCAAAGTCAACATCAATTTTAGCCACGGATGAGCTTTTATAAGGACATCCACGAAGACTTAATAAAGAAATTATGACAAGGCTGCATTAAAGACACATTTTACGAAAGCTTTTCAATATTCGATGAATTTCTGTTTCCACGTAATCCGTGAGTTGATGTTCTTTCAGGCTTTTATAGATCAAAACAATTTTGAAAAAAACAATTTGCAAAGAAATTAATTAGCACCTCGTTAGCAAGAGAAGATTCCAAAATTAATTACATTACTTAAGATCCTGAACTTGTCGGATGAAATTAGTTGAATAAGAGGCACCAAGTGAAGCTCTGAGAAAAATGTTTATTACAGTCGTTTATGGGGGTAAGTCTGCAACTTTATCAGTGAAGGTATCTAGCAAACATAAGTGCAACATAAATGCAGCTTCTTTCATAGATGACTGAAAAAGTTATTAAGGATCTTCAAAGCAGACAGAAATTAAACAAATAACTAAAAGGCTCTTCACATTTGAACTTTGTCAGGTAAAGAGGAGTACTCGTTAAAGTTTGGTATCATTAAGGGTTTCTGGAGTATAGTTTAGTCACGATATTTCAGTGAATACTTAAACTCTTTAAACCCTTTAGCACACCTCTGTATGTATTTTGGCCACACTGTTCTCTATAGATTTCCTTGTGAGCTGACAAGGAGAATTTGTTTAATAATCAAGAGCTTCTTAAGTTGGTGATCATTTCCTTTATATTCATGATCTAAATGTTTGATTCAGGAGTGATATTGTAGGAAAAAATTAGATGCTAGTCGCTCATAGGGGTCCAAGGATTACCAAGTATAAATTTTATGAAAAGGTCTTAGGAAACGTGTTTCAGCTGCAACGAGCTCCATAACTGCTCAGAGTATTGGCCGCTTAACCTTTCATAGAGGTATTGCTTTTCGCAGAACAAGAGGAAGTGTTGTTTAACACCGATTGCAGGCTCAAGCTGTTGTTAGATTGTATCAAAAGGCTGTGCAAGTGTGAAATGCAAGGTGATTAAAATATAATATTTGTGACAATCATATTTTGTTGTGACTCCAGGATTTTTCAAATAAATGGGGGAGGAGTGGGTGGGGTCACACTTATGGATATCTGCGCACTTACGTGATGTGGCTCATATCGCCGCTCATCCTCATGTAGCAATAGTCTGATACGCATGCGGCAAGATGGGGTGGCAAATGTCAGCCAATAAAAACGCGAGATTTTTACAGGAGTTTTACATAGAATTTACATGCTGTATACTTTTATTGAAGCATTTCTTAAGAAATGGTTTGTCATACGATAGATAACACCGAATAGTTCAAAATGAATAAAAAGTAACGCCAATGCAGAAGCTGTGATGGATTCTGCCCCTTTTTTTTTCTTCAGCTGAAGTGGATCTGTGTGAAGTAACTGGTCATCCAAAATATCTACAACATCAGCCTCAAGAATCTTATGCCACAAATTTCTTAAAACCCAGAGGAAAATACGTCCTAATACAAATGGAAAGTAAGTTATGCTGTATTGTACTCCCATTGCGTGCCTACATTTTTTACGTCAACGTCCGCGAAACGGACCAAGTGTTTGTCGAAAAAGAACTAGTCGTGTTTATACTGGCATATTTTGTTACCTAAAATCGTTGTTGTTGTTGGTCAAACTTGAAACAGTCGAAAATCTACTCTATTGTCAAAATTGGATGTTTACTCGGTTATGGAACATTTGTGGATTATCATCGGAATCCCTGTAAATAAATGGTTTGAGTTTTCGCTTTCGAGTGAATTCCTATGTGGTTCTGCGAACTGCGTAATATGTATCCCTGACAAGGTTAATACTTACATTTCCAGGCATTTAGAATTTATTCTGAAAAAAGTTTAGGTGCGTGATCTTGAATTTTTACTTGTAATTTTTCTTTTCAGGGGAAAATGGAAAATCCTTTTACAAACCTCTTCTTAGGGATAAATCTATTATCACTGACCATTTTCTAGGTAAGAAAATGATCTTTATAATATCTTGTAAAACATATCGGGCCGGTCATTTACACGAGGTCTAACCCAAACCGCGATTTTGCGCAAGCAGTGAGCCTCATGTATTCTTTATAAGAGTTGACTGTAATCAGATAAGTTTTATTTCCACTGCTAATTTTTGGTCCTCTTGACACAGTTCACAAAATAAAGTATACAGATAAGAGGCTCAGCTAAATTGTAGATAGCCTAGAGCACAGTTTTGTTAAACAACGGTTAAACTTTGTCTAAACAACCGGCCCATCATGTTATAAACTTGGCCAGCTTTTACTGTTTTTGTTTCCCTCAAAACACAAGGGGTGGGGTGGGTAGTGAAGCGAAAATGAACTTCCCTAATAGTGTCTTTTACTTTGATAAAAACTATTACAAAGAGAACCATTACTACTTCAATCTTATAGAAATAAGAGAGATGGTAAGTCTTTTTTTCTTTTTTCAATCTTGTTTTTTTCCCAGCGAGCTTGGAAAAAGATATGGCAGAGAGAGAAGTGAGTCGTTCACCCGGCGCTGATAGACTGCGAACGAAGAGAAATTCACTTAAACCTGGGCGAACTGGTACATCAGGAAAAACAAAACCGAGGGCGCTCTCGATGAACAAGAATTCTTAGAAAATGCCTTTAATTTATCATATGATAGGATGCTCTGCTTCACAGCCAATATCCTTGATGATTTTAATTCTTGGTGAAGAGGTGATATACCTCTAGCAAAGTAAATCGATTGAGCCCCCCCCCTCCCCTCCCCCCATCTTACAATAGACATGGCAGTGATACTGCATAGTGTTCCAGGAGAGTATTGTCCAAATTAATCCCCTCCAACAGGAGACTTCTGAGTGGGTTGGTCTTCCTTAAAATGGATTGTCTCAGAACATTTCGTCTTTCCTTGTTCCTTAAAATTTTGAGATCTCGACTTTTGAGGTCTAGGCTTGATCATTTCAAAGGAAGTTCGTAATAAATAATATTCTGATCCGAATATCCGAGACGACACTTGGATGAAGTCTGTATGACCTTTCCGAATCCTAATTGTTACACAGACCAAAAGTGAACTGATAGCTCGTCTGGTTCGTCCATTGTCTGTGGAGATGAATAACAAAACAGAAAAAAAGGAATTTTTCGTAGTTTGACATACAGTTCCGGCTATAAAGTTACACATTTCAATGATATTCCTGGGTCCTTGCAGTATCCAGCTGATTATCGCATGAATTCACCTCCAGCTCATATCATGGCTATATTAATGAAGATCTTGAATTTCTTTTGATTATTGTTTATTAGTTACTTTTCACCGTACCTTGAATTCAGGATCTGTTTGTCTCGCATCTAGTGCATTAGTTAGTGACATTCCGGAATCAAGTGATTCTGCATCTAACAAAAGACGGAACATATCAACAATTTGCGACAATTATCTTGAGGTTTTTCTAAATGCTCAAGTAATTACAATGTACGCCTCAGGTACAAGTTTACTTACAAGAATCTCGTGCCAGTTCCCTCATTTGGGCGAAGTCTGTCCGACAGTAGGCTGGGTCTAGTGGCCATTCAGGCTCACTCAGTTCATCGTTGTTATTATTTTGAAGAACTCTAATTGTTGCCGTCTTCTCCGCCAACTGCGAGTGAAGGGATTTTATTCTATGTTGAAGACGGTGGAATATTAAAGGTTAGTGTTCCTGTGGTAAAAATCACTATAGTTCGATGGAAGGTAAAAATATTCATTCTTATAACTTACATAGATTCTAAATCAGCACAGCGCCTGTTGGCCACGTATAGTTCTTCAACGGATTTTAAATTTTCCGCTCTACATTCAGCAATAATCTTTTCACGTTCCTGGATGGATTTTTCCAATGCCGCTATCCGTGCTTCCCTGAATTAGATACATAACACATCATTGCTGCGGTGAAAGATTTTTTCGCGCATTAACACAAATTACACCGCGCTTTCTTCGTTCATTTGTTATCACCGCGCATTGGTGAGTAACGCGTTTCCCAACACGGATTGTGCTATCTTCCCGCCATTTTATTTTTCGAGTTACGCATTTTCTCAGGTCTTCCATTAAGTACATGATTCCTAACACTTGTTCGCGCTCACTTTGATTTTTGAGCTATGACTCGTTTATGGAATTTTTTTGAACCTATAGCGCAAGAATAAACTTACTTTGGGACAGAGACAGCTTTTATGGCCAAGCTCCTTGATGTACCTTCCTGCATTAACGTTTGTTCAAGCTAAAAAGAAGCAGACGAAGGTTCAATCACCAATTTTCTTTGGAACGAATTTTATTACTGAAAGTTTTACGCATAATAAATAACATTTTACTTTCACAATTACCCGTGATAGATTATCTTCCAGCACTTGAATCCTTTCGTTTTTTTCTCTCAACATTTCAAGTAACCCAGGGATAGATGTAGGTCCATCTAACTCTGCTATAACTTCTTCAGCTGAGATTGAATGCCGGTGATGTGTTCCTATTTCATCAGCAGTTGTCGAGCACAACCTCTCGTCAACAGGGTTACTTTCCATCATGCGCAGACCATGTACCGTCCCTGTGGGGCTTACGTGATTCTTGTGCAACTCTTGCTCGAGCTGTCATAGAAACATTGTATTTCTGTTAAAGCTAAATTGAACTAAGGGGGCAATTTTCTAAAGAAACTGTGGTGCTGCGTCGGTGGGAGAGTATAACAGGGTAATTTAGTATTATCAATCGAGTTTATAACGTAAATTGGCCACTGTAAAGAGGTTTAAAAGCTGACGTTTCGAGCGTTAGCCCTTCGTCAGAGCGATTGAACTAATACGGATTACGTTATTTAAGCTCCAAACCAATTAGGGCACGTCTTGATTTTGTTTTCCAAGAAAACATGAATCTCACCTCATTTTGGAGACATGTTATTCTCTCTCGACTTTGTGCCAGCGATGAACTCAGTAGATCTTTATCTCTCTCCAGTTCTTCAATTCGTGTGTTCTGTCGGTTTATTGTATGTTCCAGCTCTTCTCGCGTTGAAATAAAGAGGTCACCTAATTCCAGACATATGAAATGTTGCTATCAACTACTTTTAAAATGATTTTCTGCAGCAGCTCTTTTATTGTTAATCAACAAGCCTTACGTTGGCTGCGAAGTGAAAAGTTGATCATGAAACTCTTACGTGCATATATTCAGGGGAGAGGAGAGAGGGTATACGACAAGAAGGACCAAAGCACATCTGATCACTAGGCAACTTCCGGAGTAATTTCTCACTCAGTCCTGCTCGCGTGGCTTTGGGAGACCTGGTCATGAGATTATGTCAGAGACCGTGCGGGAGCCAATGGGAACTCACATTAAAAGGAAACAGCTTAAAGCGCGGGAAAAAGCGAGTCGCGGCTGGCTTTATTTTTGTATCTGATTGGTGGAGAAGATGGCGCAATTTTCCTAAACCAATCACAGACCGTGTTGGAGCAAAACCATTGCAGTCCTGGATTACTTCAACACATTGAAAAGTGTTTTAAAAACTTAGTATTGAGATTACTTTGACCGATGAGTTGTCGTATGACGTCATTCTTGAGCCTAATTTCCCTCTTGAAATTCTCCAATGAATTCTGTAACAAAATAGAAAATAAAATGGTACAAGACGCTTTAGTAATATTTAATGTCTAAGGCGCTAAAATATATTTAATACGCATGCTAATACATGCTCTTGTCTTTGGCCATTCAAATGTTGCCTTGCTGTCGGTATATTGGGGGTTTATTAAGCACAAGAAGACGTATTTGTTTGAACAAGGTTGCAAACCTGGACCTGTTTTCGAAAACATCTGTAGGTGCGCTGTTACTTATCGTCCAAACTTTTATGTTGATAACTTACCTTTCCTTGTTCGACTTCATCTTTACATTTCTCTAGTTCAGCTGTTGAAAGAATATTGAGTGAAGAATGTTTTGATAATAATATGACCGCCATATCCGGTACAAACATCAGCAACAATGATATCAATATTGAAGTTTTTTAACTGCATCCAAACTTGTTGTCTTTCTAACGTAGTTTTTACAACTGACGTAAACATATTTGTGTGATAGTATCCTTCAATCAGTTCATGTATTTTCCAACTTGATGAACAGGTTCTTGAAGTCTTCAATCTGGATCAATACAAACAAACCTCACTTAATTTTGTCTCTGTTTCTTTAATTGCCTCTTCGCAAGCTCTATCTGCTTAATTTACACATCGGTTTATATCGGCTGTTGATGGCTTCTTTTTTTACTTTCCTTAGAGATTTTAACAACAAACTGATCAAATAAAACATTCAATCATTATGAGAAACGTCAACTTGTAAGTCTGTAAAATGACCTTATACGTACATTACATGACATGACGAGAACTCATTGATTTCCGTTCGGTCATCAGGTTAAAATTGTGGTATTTGTAATCTTATGAAATCTCTGAGTAGTAGAATTCTGCTTGAAAAAAACACGAATGAACCTAACGTGATCTTATTTCTGATTTTTCATTGTAGTAGATGTCGGCTTTGACAAGTTTCCTAAATATCGCAAATATTCTACCAATATTTTTAATTCCCCTTTAATTTAAATATATCTGTGTCATTTAATAGCACATTACTGTCTCTCCTTACGAGTTCAAAAATAAATTTGTGAAATATTTTCATTCTTTATATTGTATGTAGGTTTGCATGAATCACAGATTTTAAGTTGGAAAACTGATTGTCTTTTTCCATTCGTATTTGCTGTAAGTTTGCCGGAGAAAATCCAAACATTATTTTCGTGTTTGATGCATGTTTTTTTGTGTGAAGAAAGATCAGGCAAACAGCGACTAGAGCATCCTAAAACATTAAAACATGCATCTATTATCTTCAAAATGATTATTGCACATTTACCTAAAGAATATTTCTGTATTTAGCAGATTTTACTGAGATCTGTTTGCTTTCTATCATGTCGTGAATGTTTTTGCACTGCCGAAAGATATACTATTATGACTAGATCATAGCATTCCTGTAAAATTGTCGTCATGAATATACAGCTGATATCAAAATAACAGTGAACTGTTTCACATTTAATTTACAATACCTTTCTGTTTGAAATCCAAACCATTCTCACCTTCAAGATTCCTGTTTCTTTCTCGAAGTTCCTTCATCTCCGTTTCCATCCGTGTTCTTGTGCTGTATTCCAGGTTTTCACGTTTCTTAAACGATATTTGTAGTTCCTCGTATGCAGTGCGCAAGCTCTCAAGTTCATCTTCAACCTGCAATATAACTGCGTTATTGACCTTGCTTGAGGTCGAGATTACGTATACTGGCTAATTTTATTTTCGTTGTGTGGACCAAGACATATTAAGGCTCCCTAAAAACGTCAGAAGAAAAGATGACGTAAATTTCCAATCATGATGACCTGAACTTTGTTCAATAAAGGATTTATCATCTGTCCAAAATATTTCCTTGAGAAAGTTCGCTTCACTGCAAAGTGCCTTCAAAAAACATTTTTCTTTGTTTTTGCTATATTCAAGAAATGTGATTGCTATGTTTTATGATTCATTTTTAACAATTGCCAGGAAACTTTTTTCGTGTAAACAACATTTTCCAAGATGTTCGGAAGTGTCTATGCCGGCTTCGATTAATTTTGTGTTGATACGGGAATAGACCGAACAATCCCGAGGGATTAAAATCATGGTGCTCAGATTGTGCCTTCAAAAACCGTGAACGAGACTTTTTCTTTCCTCACCGTTTGTATTCTACTCATCTTATGGTAAACGCTTTGCAGTTTTTCTCGTAATGCAACATTATCACGTGATAACAATTCAACCATTTGAGTGGCTCTTGTGGCAACTGCTGATGCTGTTGGCGTCGAATCAACTGGTCTGTCTGGATCTTTATCAGGTATATCTACAGGAGAAGGACAAATGTATGTGGCCGCTAAATCTTTTCATGAGCCAATCGACCGAGACTTCATGACTAGAAATGCAGTCTTGGCCCCCTTATACTTTTGCCCGATGTTTTTGTGGTCTGTGTCCGCGATCTCTCATACTACTAATAGGGACCTTAAGCAGTCAGGACGGCAACGCCAAGGAAGACTTCGATTAAAAAATGAATTTCTGCCTTTAATTAGAATTTCAAAAATGGTTGCATGTGTTTACCGTCTTATACGGCGCCACACCTCAACTTCAGCATAACGTATAAAAGTTCCAAATGGAAATTAAAATAATTTGCCGTCGCGGTTTCGGTTCGCAGACGACGCAAATAGTCCATTTTACAGTTGTGTGGTAGGTTGCCAAGCCTTTGAATAGGAATGAGGCTAAGGGTTACCTTGTTATGATACAAACCTTGCTGCTTTTCAAATGCAAATTACTTTGTTATCATGCTAACTAGATACTGGTCTCTATCACAACAAGGTCACCTTCAGCCTCATTCCAAGTCAAAGGCTTGGCAATTAAGTACACAACCGTAAAATGGCCTATTGTGGTGATTTCACGTTGTTGTTTTGCATAGGACGGCGAAGAAATGTACAAAGTTTTAAAACGCACGTGCTGAGCTATTGTTCTGCCAATTAGATCTTTTGTTTTTCCATGTCCTCGCCTCCGTCGCCAACGTGGTTTGCTTAAGGTCCCTGATACCCTTCTAGAACGGATCGGGCGTAGACAGCTCGTACCCCCTTAGTAAATAGGTGCTCAATATGTGTAAAATCGATCGGTGATTGTTCACTGATCGATACTCAAATACAGACTTATGACAGACAAGTACAGTAATTGAAAGAGAGTATAACATTGCTCTTACCAAAACCGTATCGCTTGTCACTGTCTTTAAAACTAAAATTTCCGTCAGAGCCATCATCACCCACTGATTCTTCTTCATCTCTATGCTTGAAGTTTATAACTCTTTGATTCAACAGTTCTTCATTTGTTCGGCATCCATTACCGTCTCTTCGCTCATCGCCGTCATACACAACAATAAATCTTTGTTCACTTTCATTGTCATCAAAATTGCTCACAGTAATAAGTGGAGTCGATAAGGTTTTTGTCCGTTTTGTATAGTCTCTTCCATTGGGTGCTGGTTTTATTTTTATTGAGGCAAGCTTGGAGGATTCTTTCAGGAGAATTTCTCTGTCCTTAACATTTGTGATCTCTAGGTCATCTGGAGAAAGATTAGAGATAAAATCAAGTTGTTCGATCTTTTACCTTTTGCTTCTTTATATATTTATATACTTTTTCTTGAACTAAGTTACACTGAAGATTTAGCCAACAGCAAGAGTAAATTCTTGATCGCTGATTGAAAATGTCTCCACCACGAGGATCTGAATGTAGACCCTTAACAGTTCTAAAGGATCTTTATGGGGCAGTTTTAGATTTTGACTACAAAATATGAGCTTCTGAAGGAAACATATGAATGGTTGAAAGTACAATCTTGCTCTGTTAAGGCAAAATGAACAAATTCGAGTTTTTTCTTATGGTTTTCTAGCTTGATAAATATAAAAGCAGAATTTCTGGTAAATAACTCTCCCAGCTGAGCTATAATCTACAGGGGGAGGAGGAGGGGGAACGGGTGTCTTAAGGAAATTTAAGACGACAAAATTCATTCGCTTTTGAGGGCTTTAAGTCCCGAAAAAAAACTAAAAAGTAAGCGCTTTGCGTAAACCTGTATGCTATGTTTAATTGTTATGACCCCCAAACCACAGCTTGTTAAGCACTACATACCCTGCCGAAAAAACTTGGGCAATCTTAACCCCCCACCCCATCATCCTTCTTCTTAAGCTCCCTTCCCGCTGAGCCAATTACAATTGATTGATGTAGATAACAATAAATGGATGAACAAAGTGCTTAGTAATTCATGATTTAAAAATTGCAATGTCATTCTTGACGACAATGGCTTTTCATATAATTTTCTGATTAGGTTCAGATCTTTTTTGAAAATGTTAATGAGCCCATACTACAAATTATTTTATTTTTTCTAGGTTTTTTGACAGGGACTTTATATCACTAGGACCACAAGTCCAGTTTCTTCTTTCTCTTAAGTCTTTATTCAACTTTTTTTCTTTATGAAGCGTTTATTCATAGCAGAACAAAAATCATAAACATAAATTTGCCCGGTAATTGCAACTAGTTTATAACTGTCGTGACCTCTCGCGATTTGCATGTTGTCGCTAATTTGCAGTTTAATTAAGTGAAGCATAAAACATTTTATAGGCTAAGATAAAAAGAAATTGGACTTCAATTGAAATCAGCCGTTGATCTATTGTTGAGAATTTCTGCCCATTTCGACAAAGCATAGAGAAACAAAAGAGAGCGGAATCACTGATTATAGAGTCACAGAATCAAAAGTAAACCTCGTTGTGTTACGTAGAGGTGAAGCGAGGAAAAAGTGTTAAGTTCTCTTGCTGCTGTTAATTAGTAAGCAAAACGGCTGGATTAAAAGCGTCTTACGAAACACTTACTAGGAGATAAAAAGATTCACATTTATTCTCTGACGCAATATCGCGAGCAATCAAGAATATAAACAAAGGCGAAAGTTTGTGCTCTCTCTTATCCGAGCGTCTAAACTTTACCACGTTTATATCAATATGCCCCGTCGCTTTATTGAAGGAGAGCAAATATTTTATAGCTATCGATCAAGTGTTCTCTGAGAGACAGACAGTATTATATCCAGCGAATTATAGAACATTTTAACACAACTACTGTTTGAATATTATGTAGGGAATAATTGTGTTTTGGTTTCCAATGTATGTTTGTTTATCTAGCTAAACTTCTGATTATCAGAGTTATGTGTTCAGTTAGTAAGTAATTCGAATTTTGTCTGCCGGTATAATCAAATAAATGAGAGTGTACAAGCTAAGAGCGTGGCTTTGAACTTGACGAAATATTTAAGATATGAAGCTGTTATAATTTCTGTTCAAGGAACTGAGTTTAATTTTGTTGTCAAGTACTTACCAAGAAGATTATCATCCATTTGGAGTAAAACAGCTCCATTGACAAGATATCCTACCATAAATCAACAGTGAATGATTAAAAGAGAACAGACTTTACAAGTATGATTGTGTTGTGAAAACTTGGCGAAACTTTCCCATCTTTGTACTACAGAACAACTTTACAAAAGATTTCTGTCAAAACATTTGAAACAAACGATATTGCATGACCTTGTCGTGCTTAACGATTTCTCTGTCAGACTGATATTGTTCATGTTGAATAACTGAAAACTTTCATTCTACTCACTTAGAGTCAAGCATAGCTCATTGGATGAGTGTATCTGATAAAAGGAAGAGCTGGATTAACAATGTCAAAACTCAGTTACCTTTAAATCTTTTCGCATACTTTGGAAGCCCTATTTCTTTTAACCAATGAGCAACTTCATCAGCGTTCCAATCCATTTAGAACGTGCCAGCGCACGGCGATTTATGGGCTTGCAATGTTCAAATTTGTACACCACCGTGCAACAAGAAACCACAAAACCTCAACTCATTATTCCTTTGTTTGCATGCAAACGTTTCCAGAGAAGTGATCGGGCTCAGAGGAAACTCGGAGATTCACTTCAGTCTAACTTATCTTCATCGAACAACAGCTTGCAAGTGAACTCCTCAAACAAAATGTCAAGTTAGGTTGAGTGAAGGCAATGAATTAGCAGATGACATCAACTTTAATGAGATGCTTTCAGATGCTTACCAGGTAATTAACGCAGCTACTGGTGACCTGACTTTAATTAAACTTTCTTCCAACTTCATGATGTGGATACAGATACACACATTTCTCAAAGTTAGACTCGCTATAGCAGGATTTATTTCTTCTGCGCGGAAATAAAAAGGTCACGTATAGTACCTATGTGACTTTACGAATTAAACTTATTTTTAACAAACTCAAATTTTGTGCATATTTCCCTCGGCACTCGTCAGTTCACCCATCAAGTTGCCTTCGTTATTTTATCCCTTTTATTCCCGAAAAGAACTTTTATCCTTTTCTTTTCGGTCAAAAAAGTATTTCTTTTTATCATTGAGTGCTTGAGATATCAACTATATTTGACGCATAGTTGCGATGACCCATTTCAATCTGATGACCATACTTAATTTCTGTATCTGGCCTCTATGAGTTGTTAGTTAATCATGTCATCAGTAAATTATCGGTTAGTTGAGGTTATGACTCTTTGTTTGCTGTGTTTTGACGTTATTCCTTAAACGGAAGTAATGTCCTGAAAGCTATTTCCGGTGTAATTACCAAATGCCCTGAAACCCATTTAAGATAGGCGCGAGTGCGTCATAATGATGTCAGCAGTGGAGAAAACGTGCAGCAAGTGAGATACTTTGAACGCGAATCGCGAAAGGAGAACGCAAAGTGCGACGGAGCCATAGTAACATGCAGCATATCCTCCCGATCTTGTTTTCAAAAAGCGTAATAAGATGACATATTCATAACCGCACATCCTTGCAAACGCATACTAAAAACTGAATCCCGGGCATGGAAGCTTTTCATTGCACGCCTTTCTCTCAGGTTTTGTTGGCGTAGTAACACTCAACTCCGATCTCTAGTCAGAGGTCTGGTGATAAGTTTTGACCTCCTCAATTGACTTGTCTAAAATTTTAATCAATTTAAGATTGTTTTTGGTTTGTTTGTTTGTTTTTTCCTTTGACAAAATCGTTGTTTATAGTAGGATTTGGTTTTAAGTTTTGATCAATTTGGATTCAATTCTAAACAATCACCACTCAGGAGGACTAAATTTCAAGGTTACCGCATAACATTTTTCCTGGCTAAGTACAGTAACCAGGCAGCAGGTTTTCTGCTCCGTCAACTTCTTGGATCTTCTTTCTTTTGAAAGTTCCATCTTATTCACTTAAGGAAATTTTTCATAAAATGTGGAAGCAAAACCTTTTCACAATTTTCCTATATGGAGTCATAATTTTTAATGCTGCAATGGTATTACTAAAACGTGAGCGATGCATCAGTTGTTTGTTATACTTAGTGAGCTTGTTGACTTTTGAATATGGCGACTGTAATATTTATCTCTTGGGAAAAACGCTTTTTATCTTCAAAAAGAAAACTTTATTCGTTCCTCATTGGTGTCAGTGAATGTAGATTTGAGTTGAGATATATTTGATTTCAGTCTCTCAACAATGAGATTTATCAAAATCAAAACATCATCCGTACAATTTTAACGTGGAAAATTTATTCAATCGATTACTTTGCTTTTTTTCCTACAAGTAAGATTTTGAATGGATTGTAAAAAAGCAGGTTTCATTGGAATTTTTTTAGTGGTACTTAAGGATTTTGTTTTACTTTCATTTGCCTTCCAGATATTTACCACAGGCGCACTTCATTGCTGCTCACATGTGAAAATTCAGACAGCAATCTTGGCATGTCTGCTGAACAGTGTCCTCTGAAAGCTCTATCGAGTCACTGCACTCAAAGAGTATTGGACGGTGTGAACATGAGCCAAGGGCTTGTTCTTGGAAAGGAAAGAAAACAGAAAGGTATTAGTGTTCGATAGCCATCTTAATTTTACGAGGTAGATTACGGTCTAAAATGAAACTCAAACGGTTTAATTTTGCAATTGCTGAAAGAGTATATTTGTCATGTTAGACACAGAATAACCGAAGAGACATTTAAAAGACAGTTTTATTCACCGATACACCGGTGTTTGTTTCTTCTACAGGATAGCTAGAGCCTTGGATGTTTCTTTCCGTTTAAGCCTGCGTGGAAATTTCTTATGTAACTGGGCAGGTGGAACGATTTTCGGAAATGTGAGGCGCGATTTATAACTTGTACAATTGTGTTTTTATTTGCGTTCTTCTGACTTTTGTCAATTTTTCTCCAGTTTTCCTCACTCTTGGCATTGTTGCAACGAAAGGCGAAGAGAGCAACCTGATACAAGCTCTCTATTCCTTGAAAAAGCATATCTCAATAGATGAGCATGTCGACATCGTGTTCGCTGTGGTTTCCGAAGGAGATTCAAAATCACTTCTCTTACAGCGCATAAAAAGCGAATTCGAACAC